CAATACTCTAGTTTTTTTTTTTTTTGACAATATTAAAAAAATAAGTTAGAAAAATATGAGTAGTGGGCTAGTGGACAACCGTGCACGCATTCCCTGTATCATAGAAAATATTCAAAAATTTCGTTATCTCAAAAGCAATTAATTGTTGATTATGCCTTGTTTGGTTTATATAAAAATCATAGATTTTGATCAAAATTGATGGAATGTGTGATTGAAAATGCATGAATACCACGAAATACATAGTTAAAATAATTGTTAATTTTGTCTTAGATTTCAATTCAATTTTTTTTAATGAACCAAATAGGGGCTAGAATATAAATCATAATCAGAATCATATGAATACCTATTGTTAAAAAAAAAAAAAAGTAATAATTGTATCATAATTAACACATGATTGTAGCATGAGATAAATAGAGTTTTACTTGTTACCTATATTCGTTGCGAACATCGTATCAGATAAGTTCTAGTCTGGACACGCACTCGCAAATGCATTTTTGCGAGATGGAGAGATAAAAATAAAAACAATGGCATGTCTAAATTTTGTAAATTGTGGTAATTAATAAAGATAAAAAGACACTCATTGGCTTCAGAGAAGGAGATTGGGACTTTGACATGGGGGATGGTATCGCCCTCACACTCTTGCCACTTCCCCCTGACCCAGAACCACGTTTCCTCACATCTTTTGATGGAGGAGGGTAGGCCCAGGACAAAAGGGGAATGTGACCCCCATGGGCACAATGATTAATACCCTCTCGAATCCCCCTTACTCAAAGCCTGGGGTTGGAAACTGTTTGGAAGACGTGTAGGGGCATGTCCTCACCCATGGAAGTCTCCTTCCACCACCAATTGGGCCCAAGCATTGGGGAAGAGCTGGGTGGGGGTCACCCGTACAGCCTAAGAACAACCTTAAAAAATGGATGTAAAAACAGGTGAAGCCCAGCCCTGAGTAGAAACTCATTAATGGCGACGCAACCCTACCTCAGATAGCAGGCTCGCTCATTATGAGAAATGGAGATGAGCTTTATGTCGTAAGGGATCCTATATTTTTCCCTTATATTAGCCAAGTGGGTCAGATCTACAGTAGACGGGATTTTGGCTGCCCCTACTCTATATTATTACTTCTCCTACCCTTCCCAGAAAGCAGTGCACTTTGACATGCCTGAATGGCTTTAACTAGGTCAGCGGTATTGGTGATTTGCACTTCCATCTCATTAGCCAACTCACTTAGATCTAC